CAGCAAGGCCCAGCTGCCACATCTGCTTGCCCCAATGGTTAATTTAGCACATTACGTCTCATGAACTCATGCAAACCCAAAGCAACTCAACAGCATGCGCCAACTTGACCATTTAAGTTCAACATCAGAAATACGTATTATAGAACCAAAAAAGCGTAACTGTTTTGTTCAAAACTGTCGTCTTCGAAGTAGATTTTCCTCCTTTGAAGCTGCCCTCAATCTCACAGCCGCAGCCAGGCCTGCTGTTCTAACCATCGCCAACTAACTTCTCTAGAGTCAGAACATCTCAGAACAGCAGTGGCTGCTGCTGTTTCCACGAGTGCCAAAAGTCAGAAGCAGGAACAATTAGGGAGTTTTAAAAAGCCTTTTGGCATCATTTGATTATGCCTGTAACGACTGCCTGCTTCAAAGGGCGTCTGAAGTAGACACGGTCTGCTGTGACAGCCTGAAGACAGGAATAATCCTGTACTGAAGAGCAGCCAATCAGTTCAGACAGGGTCACTGCATTCCTTCCTTCCTTCCGGAGCCAGACCAAGAGTCTAGCTCCCCATGATTAAAATATCTTAAATGCAATTTACAGCCAGATGTAAAATGCAGCTTCCTTTCCCAAGTTACTGGAAACAATATTTGAGAGAAATGTCAACATATTCGCACCTCCCTGCTCCTTCACTGGTTACATTTCACTCAGAAGGAAGTGATGACAACCGACTGGTCAGTTTCACTTCTTCCTTTTCACTGATAGCACAATTGCTATGGTTTACGAGCGCAGAGAGTTCACATCCCATCACAAGAACGGCTTTCATTTAGATCACGAAAACATCAATAGCAACTTATTTTAATGGATCTTGCACAAAGATTAAAAGCTGGGAACTAAACGATGCCCCTTTAATTAGGGGAAATGAAGAGAAAATGACTCCTATTTACATTTCTACAAACTCTTCTGACAAGAAGCACTTGGCTATTACACTAAAAACGTGGACAGCACCACTTATTAATTTCTCTCTCCTCTCATCAGATCATTTTTACTGAAGACTTACAAAAGCAGAAGACCACAGTGTACATTAGAGATAAGGGGGAGTTTTGCACAGGCCTTCAATGATGGCTTTGCACTCAAAATACCCCTCTATAATAGGAATTAAATATATATTATTATCTAAGTCTTACGCAGTATAATGACCCCCTAATCACCAAATGAAGTTCAGGACTAAATCAGTCCTGGACCAACATCAAAGAAAATACTCTAAGATCAAGGAAACAGTGAGTATTTTAATGATAGAACTCACAATCCTCCATAGCTAGAAATAATGCTTTAGATTGTAAGAAAGCAAAGAATCCCAGTTTCCCAATGAAATAAAATATCCATTTCAGCAAACGAGACACTAACTAATAAGTCATTCCAGTTATGATCCTACCTCAACTCATACGTGATTTTAACAACTACCTAGGGCAGTCAGGCGCCAAACCATTATACCACACGTATGCCTTGAATCTCAGTTTAATAAAAAGCCATTGACTCTTTCTAAAAGTTGTAGGATATTAGTTGCTAAAAGTCACACTGCCATTGAAGAAAGAAAGAAAAAAAAGCACCACAGTATTCTGAATGGCGTGATTCTAATGCCTCCAAATCATACAAGCTGCCGCGTTAAACACCTGTGGATCAATGCAAATGCTTTCAGACCATTTAACTATTCCAAGACCTGGTCCTGGACCACGGATCGGAAAATCCTTCAATCCCTGCTAGATGTATTATAAAGTTGGATTTACTCATCCCCTCCCCTGGAATTTCTTGCATCTCCCCTGGAGGATAAAAAAGACAACACAGTTGGGCAGGTGAATTAGGGGGAAGGGTGAAGGAGGGATTGGTTCACATTCTTTTGGCCCATCTGGCATTGGCCACTGTCAGACACGATACCAGGCCATATCGCCTATATTGTCTGTTAAAGCACCACAAGAATGGTTCTACTCGATCAGCATGGCCTGCTACGGCCACGCATTACGGACCACAAGAGGCTTCTGCAGACTTCACTGCTCAAGCCCTGCTCCCTCCCGCGCCTCCCCACCCAAAACAGAAGTTCTGCAGCACTGGAGTGATTATTTGTCCATTTCACCTCATTGGAAAGCCAGAGGGACATCTATTAAACAGGGACGGTTGTTATGCAAGTGCCTGGAGAAGCCAAGAGGAGTGAAAGATGTGCAGGGAGGAGATACAGGTGAAAGGGGAGAGGGAACATGGATACCAGTGTAAGTTGTCTTTACCTGCTCTGGCTAGCATCTCAAACTCGGACACAGTCTCGCTCAGAGGCTGCATACCTTTAGTGGTCGCCTCGCTAAACGAGAACTCCTGGCTTTCGTTCTGGGTCACCTGCGTCAGCGCCTCAACGCTGCTTCCCCGGGACGGCTTGAGAAACACCTTGGGCTCAATGTCCAGCTGAAACTGTTGGGAAAGCAATGGAACGAATGAGTCGCCTTAGTGCTTGTTTCCATTCTGGGCTTCCAGGCCCCTCCCAGTCCAGCTCACGAATGCAACGTGGAAACAGGAGACGGCAAGACCGACACGAGCCCCAACCTTTGCAAATGTTCAGTCACGTCTGAAAGCAATCCGGGCTTTGGGCTGACAGGGACTGGTGGAAGCATGGGGGGAAAATACGTTGTCTGAAGCTGGCCGCAGGACTCTTGGGGGACTATGCCAGCCTGGCACGTTCAGGGCAATTACTTTCTTACGTACCACTGAGTCCCTGTAGGCAGCAAGGACAGAACGAGCTGGATGATGTTGACATCCTGCTCTTACAGACAAACAAGCTGCTGCGGTGTTGTTAGGGCAGCACAAATCATTGCTTATCAGGTTTCTGAGCCCAAGGTGGCCGCACCAATAAACTAGAAAGCAGACGAGAAAAATTCCACGGCGACGGGCCCTCCAGATTACAGATTTGAATAGCTAGGAGGGCACGGGGGGTGAGGTTACACAGACTGTGTTTAGTTACTAGCACTCAGGTACGTGAGCCAGCTATGTGGTGCGAGAGCCAAACGCTAAACTGGAGAAATGCCATGAACTGCACAGGCCTGGAAGCAATACGTGTATCAATACAACTATGGCGGCAGCACCATCATCCACCACTCCAGGTTTATTTTAACACTCCAAATCCCTTCAAAGGGGTTTCCTATTTTTAATCTGTATCCACCAGAGGAAATATTTCTCACCTCCCTTTAAAGCTATTTTTCTCCCACAAAGCTAGCCCTAGCCTGGAAAGGCCAAAATTTAGTCCTGGGCTAACACCAGCTTGCCTGTGCCTAAAAACGTCAGATTTCCAGCATGGTGTGTTGTAGCACAGCAGACAGAACGCCAGAGCTTTCTACTTCTGGGAAGGGGACACGCAAGCTGGCGAGCTGACCCCTCAGCCGGAGAAGGGGAAGTCGCGTTGCATGCGAAGGCACAGCTCCAGCTCTCACCACCTCCCAAACCTGTCTCACTGCCCTACAGCCTCTTCTCCCAGGCCTTTCACAAACCTCCCCTGAGGCTTCCTCACAGCCCACTCCTGTAGGTGTCACCTGCTCAGGGCTTCTGGAACAAAGCTGCCTAGTGCCAGTTCCCTGACGTAGAGTATCTCCTCTCTGGTCCCGCTCCCCGGTCACATGACTAGGAATGGGCATGTGACCTATATACATCTCCCCAATTTCGGGCCCAAGACCCATTCCCCTGTTAGAAGATTTCCCATACCCCTCTTTAGCTCTAAAAGAGACGGAGGGTTTGGACTTGAAAGCAGAGGCATTTAGGGACAGAAAGGCGGTTTTGGACGTGGCATTTTCCATGTATTGGTTTTAATTTCTTTTTCCTTCTGGGCCCTACACTCGTGGCATGTGGCATCACCCAGCTTCCCAGGCAGGGAGACAAGAAAGAGTCCCAATGGCATGACTTAAAGGAATTAAAGCATCCTAAGAATAGCATCTCTACACAGGACACGGGGGAATACGGGATGGCACGGTGTGAGGGCTTAGATCACATTACCCCGGCACACGACTGCCAATGGTGTGCTGGAAGGGGGTGGCACTTACTCCAAACAAGTGTGCACATCACTCCACAGTAAGGGAGGACCCAAGGAGCGGCAAGTGCTATTGCAAATGCTCAGGAAAACTTAGAACACCCGTGTCTGAGTCACGCTGCCCAACAGCCCAGCCCCAGGAAAGACGAAGAGCACTGCCCGCATGGTCGGTGTCTAAACAACCTCCCCCGGCCTACCAGGTGCAACGCACACTTTAGTGCAATTTCAGAAGTCCTGCAACAGAGGGGCTGTTTGGGAGGGGCCGTCAGGTCTGGGAAAGCACAACCCCCCTGCTGGGTCACAGATGGATTTACTGGCCTCGGCGTGTGTCGCAAGGCCACACTATTTACACAAGTTTCTGCTTGAGGTAGCATCGGGAGAGGCCAGATGTTTTGTAAATGAAGTGATGAGGAGGGACACGACAGGGCAGGGCACAGGAATATTTCACTGGCACCAAGCCAACTGAAAGTTGTTCCCACACTCCCGGCGAGACGACATCCCCAGGGAGCGCCTGGCTAAGCTTTACCTTGACAGAGCTGTTCTCAAACATCTCCACGGTCATCTCCTCCTCCTCTTCCTCCTCCTCCTCGCGCAGGGGCTCAATTACCATGCCCGGGAATTTCTCCGCCTCACAGAACTGCAGGAAGATGGGGGCTCGGCTGGAGTTGCGTTGTATTTCCACCCGCAAGATGCCCTCGCGTGGCCACTTGTCCCGCACGTGCTCCAGGCAGTTAATGGGTGAGCGGGAGAAGGCGATGTGAATGTAAGCGAGGATGAACAGCACGAAGAGAGCCTGAAACAGCAGAAAACAAGGGAGAGGCCATGAGTAGAGGCTGGTTCTTTTTAAATCTGCTCTTTTCACAGACTCACACGCTTTACAGAGATTCCTTGCTAACCAGTGAGATTCCTGGATGGGCCAACAGACACAGAAAGAGCCAAGATCTTTACAGTCTATTCACAACTAAGCTTGTTGGCACCAGTTCATCTCTTCAGCCAGAGAAGGCAGCTCAAGGGAGTATTTTGCCATTAACCTGCACAAGTATTTCTCATCACACAACTATTCACCACACCTTATAAAGCTGAAGCCTATCTGTTGAGAGTGGCCATTCAGAGGCTTCATTATACCTCTCACAGGAGTAGAAGTTTGCCCTGGTGTCCTGGACCAAAGCTTCCCTATTCACACACCTGCCAAGCCCGGTGCTATACGCCGTGGGATTGCCACCGCAGAAGCAGCTATATTTCACGAGCCTTGTGTGTATACTGTTTGGGCATGCTGACATGCTACCGAGATCTAAAATGTTACAAAACCAAGCCAGATTCCGACCCCAAAGAGCAGCATTTTACGTTTGTTTTGCACAGGTGTAAATGCCTGTGCAAGGCAGCAGGGACATGGAGAATGAGGTGCACATCTCTCCTGACTAGGAAGCAGCTACTATGAGCTACTGAGTTGGCATGAATGGCTCCCAGAGAGTGGGCTGTAAGAGCCATCCGAGATGGCAGCAGAGACCAGCTTCAGATAAATAATTTGCCCTAGATACCTCTAGGAAGCACAACGTCTAACAGCTAGGACAGCCCAATTCTACATCTACCAAATAATTCACGGACAAGTGTAAATTCCAGGTTTCCCCCAGAGTAACCCATCTTTCCAAAACAGACACTGCCTTTTGACCTTTGGGTCTCCTCACCCCCAGTGCTCTTTTCATATGCTTGTTTGTTGGCAAACAGGGCATCCCATTTTCCTAGGCTTCCACTCTGACCCAGAAACTCGTTTCCAGGGGAGGGGGAATACATGGTACGAATCCACTTGGCCAGACTCTTCCTGGAAGTGTAACTTGAGTAATGGAGTCACATGTATTTACTCCCAGGCCTTTAGAATTCAGCTGAACATTGACAAGGTCCTTGCTTAAGTTGGTGCCAACACACAACCTTTGCTCAGCAGATACCACGAGTCAGGAGAAAGCCACGGGAAATGTTTTAAAGGAACAGAGTCAGACAGTTTTAGGTCTGACTTTGAACACTTTCACTAAACTTTTCTCTTAGTTCTTAAAAATGTCCAAGGACAGAGTTTGACAAGGGCAGATAGGGACAGGTGTATTTTTTTTTACTTAAATCTTTAATCTACTAATGATCCATTCACAGAAAAGTCCCCAAATTTACCAGAGTCAACACACTGCACTAATGGTGTATGTTTCACTATGAAACTCTCTTTTGTGAGTGCTAAAGCCTGCACGCTTTCATTACTCCACACAAGGCAATGAAGAATGGGGTGGTATCCCGAAATCGATCAAACCCTGGCAAATGCGACAGCAAGCCAAGTACAGCTCCCAGAATATGCAAACCTTCCCAGTTACAACCAGCCTGTCTCTTGGGAGAACTCCCCTGCTGTCTCTTGCATTTATAGGATGAGCTGAAGGTTTGTATTCAGGCTTCCTGACAGATTATCTTTAGTGCTTGACTGTGGTGCCAGTGCTTAGCTTGCTGTTCAGTTGTGCGCGTCTATTGTAAGGGAGCTAAAGGAGCTTCAATAGTAGAAGGCACTACATTTTTTGATATCTAGATCAGACAGTAATCAGCACTGCAAGGCCAAAAAGCGTTCCAAAAAAAATGAGCCAGACCTGCCTAAAACCATAAGATTTGTTAAAAGAATGCGTTGACTCTTGTTTATCTCCTGGGCTTTGAGCCTATCAGGTGCAACTCCGGATCTATTTCCAAGCTTTTTCTCTGCAACAGAGAGAGCTAATATCTGATCCAGCATTAAAAACAGTGTCTGTAAATGCATCCACACCCAGCCCCGAAGCTGTTCCTTATGTCTGTCCATGACTTGTAGTTTACTATTGGGACCATCTTAAACAATGAAGGCAGAAGGCAAACAATGGAGTCCATTCTTCAGGCACTTCTTCTGTCCTACCCCATTAGATTGTAGTTTGGAGCCACCAGGACATTCAAGAGGGAGTGGGGTTCAAATTAAAGCAGGCAACACAAAACAGCTACTATACTGAAAACCCGTGTTCCCATTGGGAACAGTCCTGGGACTTGAAAGGTGTGGGAGGTGTACTCATTTCGGGAAAACTGCCAGCTTAATGAGTGTTTCATTTTCATCTGGCTCCCTGCAGCTAGCTGCTCCAGTTCCAATCACTACAACTTTGTTGTTTCCTTTTGAAGGTTCCTACAGATCCAAACACAGGCCAACTGAGAAGCTGACAGACAGATTCACTCTGATGATGTTTGTACAACTGATGCAAAACCAGGGAGATGAGATATCCAGAAGAGGCACTAAACATACCATCCCCTTCAGGAAAGTTCCCCCACTATTCTAATTGCAGTTCAAAGTATCTGGAGGAAACTAGCTGTGATTTTGGGCTAGGTATGATACACTCTGACAAGCCAGTAACAAGGTGGACCTGGAGATTCCCTTCTAGGACCTTGGATCATCATTGGAGAGCTAAGGGGAGAGGGCAGAAATGCAGGATTTAAACAACTTTCTAAGAAAATTTTCAAGATCTTGAGGCGAAACACAGTGAGACCTTCCCCTCCAAAACAGATAGTTGTGTGGATAAGAAACATTAGCTGCAGTTACACTAGTTAGTCTGAAGTGTCATATTTCAGATCTTTGTACAATTGCCTTGAGGTTTTTTGTGAACTTGAATATTGTGTCTTGTTCTTTTCTTTTTAAATCTCACATTTGCCATTAAGTAGGAAAGTATATTTCACAACCCCCCCCCCCTTTTTTACACTGTTGGCCATATCAAACAAATATAGGTGTATCAGTGCTCTGGTTTATATAAAAAACTTGAAATTGTAACGTTAATTTTAACAACTGACTTTAATGGGACCAGGATTTGGCCCAAAATGCTGGCTGTATATTTCTTATTTCCCGGACCTATGACACCAGCGAGAGCATTGCAGACATAGGATCTCATTTCAGCCTTCGAAAACCACTGGTGTCATGAGGACTGCATGTTGGATTTTCATGCAGGGTTTTTTAACCCCATATAAGATCTACATGAAAAGGCAGGATTGCTTCAGACCTCAGCTTCTATAACAAACTGGATGCTTCCTGTTAGGCTACAAGCTACGGGTAATGATACAGTCTCACTAATCCAACATGTCCAACTCAAGATTAAGAGGAAAGGGAGGGGCCACTTTTGCTTTGTCCACACACAGAGATTTTAAAATTTTATACAAGGCCTGCTAATTAAGTGACAGCTTAAACTTTAGACAGTATTTCCAGATCGGCCATTCTCTTTTCAGGGAATTCTCTCTCTTTAGAAAGCCAATAGATTGTCTTTAGTAAGTTGAGGCCAAGGCTGGCAAAGTTCACTTAAAACAAGCATTCCGCTGATTTGTTAGAAGATTAACTGAACAAACAGGAAAGGCAACTTGAGCTCAGGTAGGAAATGTTAGAAATAGCCAAGAGGCCTACATACAGGCAATGTCTGTGCTATGGGAACCATACCAGCCTCGCTTCAAAGCCAGCACTACACTGGTTATGTTGAGGAGTTTCCAGTTTAGTTTAGAAACCCACTTCCCTGAGTGACAGGAGATCAACAGAAGCATCTTGCACTGAACTAGCTGCATCTACTCTAGCGTGGAGTCACCATAACTATGTCATGCAGGGGTGTGCCAACCTAAATTTTAAGTACAGACCAGGCTCTGCTCGGGTGGAAAGTAACATCAGACAGGAAAGAGACAGTACTAACTGAAGAATAAAACTGTAAACTTTCTAGAGCACAGCTTCTCTCTTTTCTAAATTGGTTCAACACCATGCATGAATGATGGGAACCCAATCCCAATGAGGCCTTTGGGCACAAACATAACTAGTAGCAAGAGGGAAAAAAAACAGTAAAGAAAGCACACAACAACAACAACATCTAGCCACAAGATTTGCTCAGACCTTTCAGTTTACGCCCAAAGCTCTGACACCAACACTGGCGGGAAGCACACAGTGTGTGTACTGATGGAAAGCGTAAATCAAATACAGGCAGTCTCCAGGTTACGTACAAGATAGGGACTGTAGGTTTGTTCTTAAGTTGAATTTGTATGTAAGTCGGAACAGGCGTCCAGATTCAGCCGCTGCTGAAACTGACTGCCAGTTCTGACTTACATACAGATTCAACTTAAGAACCCCAAGCTTCCCCAAGTCAGCTGCTGAGACTTGACACACGCAATATGCAGCTCACAGCTACGTCAGAGCACTTACATTTGTTAAGAGATGATCTGGAGTCAGTAATAATCAGTAGCCCTGGGAGATGGGGTGTGACACCCTACTCAATATCCTGTCTGACTCCTTCTAGTGAATAACAAAACGCTAGTCCATGGGAATAAATAACAGTTTCTAGGGCTGTGTAGTTGGGGTGTTTCTCTCCACTTAAACGTTCATGGGTTCTTGGTCCAGCATTTCAAAGCTGAAGACTGAATGTGGAAAGCTCCTCCCAACTGTCCCATGGCCAGCGTCCTCTGAGGCTTTGCTCCCCGTCTCCCTGGTCTGCTGGGGGGGGCTCCCCCCAGCAGACCAGGGAGACAGGGAGCAGCTTTTCTCACCCTGGAGGACGCGGGCGGCGGGACCGCGGCGCATCTGGGCGTCCCGCCGCTCGCATCCTCCGGGGTGAGAAAAGCCCCATTCGTAACTGCGGATCCGACATAAGTCGGATCCGCGTAACTCGGGGACTGCCTGTACACAAGTCCCTACTAACACTACAGATCAAATTCCCAAAACACAGATAAACTCTTCCCAAATCCAGTAGTCAGCCATCAGACTGGAAGATTGAAGCCATGCTGAAAAACCCAAAAGACCAAACTCAATCATTTTGACAGAGAAACTGAAAGACACAATTCTCTCTTAACTACACAAAATACTTCCTCAAGCAATTAGGAATAATGAATGCTTCCCATGAAAGCACAAGAAAGACTGCACAATTTTCTGAGTAGTAAGAGGCCCAAATAGCTTCAAGATGGGCATATCAGAACAGGGGGGCAATAGCACTGAACTCTGTTACTCTCATACCACCAATCCTGCAGTTAGATCCTCAGTTAGATTTTGCATGAGCTAAAATCATGTGGAAACAAAGTGATTCAAAAGGAGTCAAAGCAGCCTTCTTTGGGCCACCTCCCTAGATAGTCTACTCTACAGCCTTCTGTAATCAGTTCCAACTTAATAGAAAACATGGCCCCTGCTCTCCCCCAAACCCCTTAGACAGCCAGCATCAGACAGGAACTCAGACCTTGATGAGAGACAGGAACCCCAGCTGGATCCTAAAATGATCCATGGTCCCCATATGAACACCATGGACTTTGAACACCCTATCAATGGAGTCCAGACACCAGGGCTATGTCTACACTGTGGACACTCTCTTGCGCAAGAAAGCGCCGATGGCCATTTTAGCCAAACTGTCTTTTCCGAAACCACGTTGAAAACACCAAATCATTTTCTATTGGCCACACAGCCATCAGATGGTGGTGTGCACTCGCCTATCAGTCTAGGTTGGACTAGAACCTGTGACTTTAGATAGGAAAGTTTCAGAAATGCTATTACAGCTAATGTGTAAAATAAAAATTCACGTGGTACACAAGTTAAGAGGAAAGGATCTGTACATCTGGGTGTCATGCTTGGATTATCTAAGGTTAAACGTTTTGTTTAAGGCACATGGAACATACCATACGTAATAAGCATTAACTCAAAGGTAGGTACAAAGAGTTGTCCTGTGGCACCAGAGACTAACAAAAATATACATACAGGTTGGACCTCCCTGGTCCAGCACCCTCAGGATCTGACCAGTCCTGGATGAGGGAATTTGCTGGACAACGGGAGGTTACCTGACACCAGCCCCTCAGTCCCTTCCTGCTGCTGGCAACTTTGGCCCAGCCGGGCTGCCTTCTGGCCAGTCCCAGCTCCGCTGCCAGCTGGGCAGCACGATGTCTAACTGGGATGCTGCAGGCCCAATCCCCCGCTGGGTGGCACGTGGCTCCAGCCACGCTGCCTCTGCGAGGCTGCGCCAAGGCCCCAGCCTAGATTCCCCTCCCGTGTTGCTGCAGCCCCAGCCTTGCTGTCGGGCAGTAGGCAGCCCTGATTGTGCTCTGCTGTTGCTGCTCAGGCTGCTGTGGCATAGCTGCTGCTAGACTCACCAGGCTGCACCACTTTCCCAGCTGCTGGGCCTCCTGCTCTGGGGCTCTCTCATGCTGAACCACAGATGTTGCCAGACCAGAGAGACCTGAATTTGGGAGGTTCAACCTGTAGGATCATGAGCTTTCATGGGCAAAACCCATCTCTTCAGATGGGCTGGAAATGTAGGTGTGTAGGTTTAGCAGTACAGTTCTAAGGCAGCAGTGAATAAGTCTTTGGATAAGTCTCCCAAGGGAAGTTTCACATACTTAGTCATGGAAAACAGATCTATTAATGGTTGGAGATTGTTCCTACACCACTGCCAAGCCCAGAGACTATCTACCTACCCCAACCTGGAGCCATGCACCCAGTTACCGTATATAATGGTTCAACAGAAAAATACACCAGCCTGATGGGAAAGTCTCTCCGGCCAGTGTAGGTGGGGTGAGGTGACTGATCCTAGGGTAGCAGCCAATCTCTCCTGTGGGTTAACAGCTGTTTGGAAGCAAGTCAGGCTTGACTGAGCTGTACAAGGGGGTGAAGACTGATGTAGAAAGTAGAGATGTAATAGTATAGTTGATTAACCCATAAGCAAACGCTCACAGGTTAATGCTACAGACTACATGCATTTCCCTCCCCTCCCTGCCAGTAATTTTTGTTAGTAGCCCGGCCAGCAGCCTGGCTCAGTCCTGGCTTGTGCTGGGTCCAGGATCTCCCCCCACTGTGGCTCTTGACTTAAAGTATATTAGGAGCCAGGTGGGCAGGCAGCTCCGCTCAATTCCAGCTTGTGCTGACCCCATTCCCGAGAAGCCTCCTGCAACCCTGAGCGGCTGCATCTCCAGGGGCAACAGAGTGGGGTGAGAGGAAGCCGGTCCACAAGAGGAGCTGGTTTTTAAGTTGGCTCCTCTGGCAGACCAGCTCCCATCTGGCACCCTGCGCTGCTGCCTCTGATAGAGACACAGCAGCGCAGGGTGACAGGGGACTCCCCAGGAGTGGGGCCAGAGCACATGGGCTGCCACTCTCAGGGACTATAGAATAGTCGACTAACTGATAAACTGTGAGGTTAATCGACTATTCATCCTTAGTGGAACGTGCCCCCAGTTCACACACACGTGGCCCTGCCCCTCACCTTGAGGAGGACAAAGAACTCGAAGATGCGGCGGAAGGAGGGTGGGAAGAGGCGGGCGGGAAGAGGCGGTCGCGCACGTTGATCAGGGGGTTCTGGTTGAGGTTGGGGTTCCGCACCCCCCGGTTGTTCCCCGCGGCAGCCCCACCGGCCCCGTTGTTGTTCACCGGGTGCTGGTGCTGG